GTTGTAAACCACACATGTAGCATAATGCCAGTCGTGTTTTTCTGCTTTACTCTTACTGGATCATCTTACTTTTGCCACACCCCTATGATGTATATACGGTTGTCATCACCCCATTTTGCAGATGAGGAAACTAAGGCACAGAGAGGTGAGTTGCCTCGCCCCAGGACACAGACCTAAGAAGTGGCAGAGCTAGAATTTGGACCCAGCTCCAACTATCTGGCTCCCAAAGTCTGAGTTCTAGACTCTTCAGCATCATCTTCACCTGGGAGATTTTAAATATGCAGGTTCACAGACCCCACCCCAGACCTAATGGATCAGATCTGCAAGGCACCGAGATCCAGGAAGGGTTCTTGGGCACGTCGGAGCCTCAGGGGACTGACGTCTAACCACTTACAGGCAACACTTAGTGCCTGTTTGATAACAATAATAAATGTTAATATATGCATAGGTAAACTTTACTTAGAATTCTGTGGACTTTGTTGTTGTTTTTTTTAACGGAGCAGTTTATTCTAGAAACTAGGCACACACAAAAATCTGTATTAAATTGGCCACAAACCAGGTTCCATCCTATCTTATTGGCTTAAGAGTTATTTTGTCAGTTTAGAAACGTTTTTCTCTTGAAACTCCTGCCTGTGACCTTCCAAACTCAGTCTTTAACTGAGTAAAGTAAAAGTATAGTGAAACCTTACCAAGTTGAACTCAATTCTGAGAGGCAATTGTGTTCTTTTTGGAATATGGTGAAGTCTTGGAGAAATTTAAGAAATTGTTTAGTAAATAAATTGTCTAGCTAGTTAATAGGCTCGTAAGGGGGCATGCTTAATTGACTAAATAAAGCCAGCCCAGCCTCTTTTTCAATTTTAAGAATTTTAGTACCGTAACGGTTCTTGACTGCAAATGAGACGTCGGGATTCGTTAGGGGGACATGATTGCTTTCTGGCTCGACTTCTGGTAGTACTTTAGTTGGTTTGATGTAATTTAATGCACGAGATCTAATTTCTTAGAAATGATTCTCTTATACACTTGCCACGTCATGTAAATTCTACCCCCATTCCACACTCCCCCCACCTCGCAATTGGGTTGATCAATGCATTTTTATCTTATCAAGCTTTGAATAGAGTATTCTGTAATTAGCATGAGTTTGATTAAACCCTGAACTAAGAAAGTTTCTCTGAACATCTCCATGCCTCAGTTTCTTCACCTGTAAAATGGGTATATAAAGGGTTATAGGCAGGGTCACCACAGGTTGTGCAGGCTGAGAGCTGTGTAGGGTTGGGGGCACCGGTCACAGCCTGCATGGTTGTGGGCTGCTGACCTGCTTGGAGGGTTCCGGAGAGGATTACATGAGCTGACAGACACGGATCAAGTGAAATTGTGCCAAGTGCCGAAGAAACACTGTTTAAGTATTCGATGATTTTAACAGAATAGGTCTTTTTTTTTTAATGTTTCTTTATTTTGAGAGAGAGAGAGAGAGAGAGAGAGAGAGCGAGCAGGGGAGGGGCAGAGAGAGGGGAAAATGAGAATCCCAAGCAGGCTCCACTCTGTCGGCATGGAGCCCTATGCGGGGCTTGAACTCATGAACCGTGAGATCATGACCTGAGCTGAAATCAAGAGTCAGACGCTTAACCCACTGAGTCACCCAGGTGCCCCCAGAATAGGTCTTGATTCAAGGGATTATTGCCCTCAAATAAATATTGCACGGAACGACAGGAGAAATGAGCTTGGAGAGTATAACGTGCTTTCCTCAATCAAAATCCCTGGTTTGGTAAGTGATTAATATATTCTCCCATTAAGAAAATCCAGAAAACCCACCCATCATACAAGAAGGAAACAAAACTTCTGCCCTCCAGGGGCACACAACATATGGATGGACACAGAGGCGGGGTCGTTCGGAGGAGTCAGGTCCTGGGGCCACAGGGGCTCTCAATCCCAGTTCTGCCATCACCAACTGTAGGAACTTCCCCCTCACCTCAGATTAACCCTTTTAAACCTCAGTTTCTTTATCAGTGTAGTGGGCAGAATGATAGCGGTCAAGAGGGTAGAAGGACCCAGGCCCGCAAGCACTCCCTACTGTTTTGGGCACTAGAAAACGCCCAGCAAACACCTGCTTGCCTGCCTGCCTATGGTCTCGGTAGCAGCGTCATTATTATTCCAGAGACAACTGTCCGCGTTTTCTTCTTTGCCTTCCTCTTCCCCACATGCCCGCTTCTTGCCAGAGGGCACTCATTCCCACCCCTATGATGTCGGCCCATTGTTTTCTCCTGCCTGGAATTTTCTCTCTAGCACCTGCTCTAAACCCTTGAGTTGAACCCAAGACAAGACTCATCTCCTGGAACCAAGAAAGGCCGAGAGAGTTGCAACCGCACTTAGATTACGTGCCAACAGTTAGCCTCCGCTCCTATCCCTTAGGAATAACAAAATGACAATGGTTTTGTCCTCACGATATAAAATGTGGCTTTGTCCTCATAATGTCCTCATATGTAAATATCCTCAACTATAAAAAAAAAATGTCCTGGGTTTTTCTTTGTTTCATGTTTAGCTATTCCTTGCATTTGAGCTTTCAGATAGAAACACGAGAGGCGTCTGGGTGGCTCAGTTGGTTGAGCATCCTGACTCTTGATTTCGGCTCAACTCATGATCTTGTGGTTCGTGAGATCGAGTCCGGCATTGGGCTCTACGCTGACATGTGGAGCCTGTGTGGGATTCTCTCTCTCTCCCTTTCTCTCTGCCCCGCCCCCCACAAATAAATATTAAAAAAATAATAAAGTAGAAACACTAATTGCTGCCCCACTTAGTAAGTTTTAAAAATGGAATTTGTAAACATAATCGCTTATTTGTTCATTAAATGAGTCTTGCTGGACAGAAGCCGCGTGTTAGACCTAGTCACAAAGAGAAATAAGGTAGAGATTGGTACTCGAGGAATTTATAGCCTTTTAAGAAAAACATAAGGCAGGGGCGCCTGGGTGGCTCAGTCAGTTAGGTGCCTGACTTTGGCTCAGGTCATGATCTTGTGGTTCATGAGTTCGAGCCCTGTGTCGGGCTCTGTGCTGACAGCTCGGAGCCTGGAGCCTGCTTCGGATTCTGTGCCTCCCTCTCTCTCTGCCCCTCCCCTGCTCATGCTCTCTCTTTCTCTCTCAAAAAACAAATAAACATAAAAAAGAAAAGAAAAAGAAAAACACAAGGGAATAACAGTTACCCAGCAGGAGCCAGATTCTGTGGCTGAAACAAGCTCCAGACGTTAAGGGGGGTTCGTTGGGTTCCACAAGCAGGAGCTTCAGGCCTGCAAGCTTTCTCGGGAGCGACGAAAATGTTTGAGTTCTGGGGGAAAAAAAGTATCATGACCAAAATATCGAAAGGGAATGACAATATCAATATCAAGTGCATATATAATTGAATGTCTACAAAATTACCATTATGTCAACGGCATCCAAATTAATTCAAGTGATTACATGTGAAGACAGTTTGTAAGCCAGGTTTTTTCACTTTGCATCGCCTCTCTCCTAGCTTCAGGGGGTTTACAGGCAGTCTCTGGTTATTTTCGTGGCTTGTGACTTCTGTCTTCCCGTGGCCCTCTCCTCACGGCTCTGTGTCCAAATATCTCCCTTTCCATAAGGACTGAGTCCTCGTGGCTTAGGGGCCACCCCACTCCAGTATGACCTCATCCTAATTTAACTAATGACACGGGCAGTGCCCTATCTCCAGATAAGGTCCCCTTCCGAGGTACTGGAAGTTACGACACAAATCCTCCCAGTGAGCGAAGTAGAAATGGGAGGAAGGCCAGCGAGGCATGTCCAAAGGCCCTGCAGAGACTAGAGAGCACAGGGCCATATGCGGAAGAGAGTCACGATGAGGCTGGAGTGGATTGCAAAGCGCTTGGTAAAAACCAAGTGTAAGTTTCATCTGAAGGGTTTCCATCTAAAGGTTTGATTTTAAAACCAAAATGAAACAACAGCAAAACAACCCTTACGCACCTCTGCCTTGCCTCATCCTCCTTTTCCCCAAACGCCTCTCACCCCAAGACCCTAAAAGCCAACCGGGAAAGAACCAAGCCCAAAGGTGTAGGGAGTTCTCTGAGTCATGTGGCATGTCCCCTGCACAGCCCAGCTGAGAGTCCGAGGACCTGATCCTTGTTCACGTGGCCTCCCCTACCCCTGCCTTTTGCATTTGGGTCTCGTACAAGGTGATGCTTTGCTCGTTGTGGAATCTTAGGTCATAATTTCTTGGAACCATTTTTTTTTTAATTTTTTTTGTAATGTTTTTATTTATTTTTGGGACAGAGAGAGACAGAGCATGAACGGGGGAGGGGCAGAGAGAGAGGGAGACACAGGATCGGAAGCAGGCTCCAGGCTCTGAGCTGTCAGCCCAGAGCCCGACGCGGGGCTCGAACTCACGGACCGTGAGATCGTGCCCTGAGCCGAAGTCGGATGCTCAACCGACTGAGCCACCCAGGTGCCCCCCATTTTTTTTTTTTGAAGAATTCCGTAACACTAAGTGAAGCAATAGCGTCCGTATCACTGCTTGTATTTAAATGTTTTGTGAGGGTGGCGAGGACTGTTGATCAGCATGGGAGAAAGACTGAAGTGATCTGCTTCTGTGCCCCTTTCCTCCATCACCCTGGAGGCACCTCCAGGGCAGGAACTATATCATTTCTATATCCTGTACCATTCCGGGATCCCACCGCTCACCACCGTGCTCAGTAAATATTAAACTAACTGAAGGCCAGAGACCCCCTTGCTCAGCTCAGAAAGCCTGCTGTAGGTTGGGTGTCCTGAACGGCCTCTCTCAGACCAAGGAATTAATAGTTTATAATAATGTCCAAGAGGCCCAATCTTCTCCAGGAAAAAAAAAAAAAAATCCCAAAGCTAATGCTATCCTGCTCTAAATAGAAAAGCCAAATGCGTATCAAAAATTCTAAGTAAAAACCTTCCTAAAAAGACACAATCCACAAGCCATAAGAAAAAAAAAAAAAGGACAGATTTGACTACATAAAAAATATAAACTTCTGGGGCACCTGGGTGGCTCAGTCAGTTGAGGGTCCAACTCTTGGTTTTGGCTCAGATCATGATCTAACTGTTTGGTGAGTTCGAGCCCTGCATCGGGCTCTGCACTGGCAGTGTGGAGCCTGCTTGGGATTCTCTCTCTCTCTCTCTCTCTCTCTCTCTCTCTCTCTCTCTGCCTCTCCCCTACTCATGCTGTGTGTGTGTGTGTGTGTGTGTGTCTCTCTCTCTCCGAATAAACTTAAAAACAATAAACTTCTAAGAAACCAAAGATATTAAAAGACATAGGACAGACCAGAATAAAATATTTATATCGTGCATAGTAGACTAAGGTTTAGTATCCTAAATACGCAAGCAATTCATGTATTAATGCAAATGGCTGATAAACAATGAAAGGGCTTGCTACTGATCAAGACGTGCAAATTAAAACAGCAATGAATAACTTTTTTGCTCACCGGATTGACAAAAATGAAAAATACCCAGTGCGGGGCCGCCTGGGTGGCTCAGTCGGTTAAGCGTCTGACTTGCACTCAGGTCATGATCTCATAGTTCGTGAATTCGAGCCCAGCCTCGCGCTCTGTGCCGACAGCTCGGAGCCTGGAGCCTGCCTCGGGTCCTGTGTCTCCTTCTCTCTCTGTCCCCCCCCCCCCCCGCTCGTGCTCTCTCTCTGTCTTTCAAAAATAAATACATGTAAAAACAAAAATTAAAAGAAAAAGAAGAAAAAGATTTAGTGTTGGTCAAGGTGGGGGTGAAAGGCACTGTGGGAGAAAGGAGAACTTGATTTATTTCTGGAGTGCAACTGGCAGCATCTGTCACGATTTAAAAGGTAACTAAGCTTGTGTCCAGAAAGCGCAATTGTAGAGATTCATTCCGGTGACAATGACAACAGCTAGCCTTACGTGAGCACCTGCTGCGTGCCAGATCCCATGCCAAGCGCGTTACATGAACAACTTCCTTTGCTTCACAAGATGACCTACAATCACCTCCATTTTCCGAGAAACTGAGGCTGAGGGAAAGTAAGTTTTCACAGTGAGTAACTAGCGAAACCAGGATTTACATCCAGGCAATCTGATTCCAGAGCCCATACATGAAGTCACTCCCTTTAACGTGCCTCACACCTGCATGAGGATGCATTATTGTGCTATAGAGTCTAAACCTAAGGTTCTAAAATTAGAAAGACGGCTTGATACGTAAGTTACAGCCATACCATGGGATACCCTGCAGCAAACAGGTAGTTTGGTTTGTACGGGTAGGGAAACTTCTCGCGTCATTTTATTGAGTAGAAAAAAAGCAAGTTGTAAATAGCATGAGCGATAAAATGGATTTTTTTTAAACCGACTATATGTGTGAGTGCGCGAGTGTGTGTCGGGGGGGGGGGGAAGGGACATATCCTGCTGCAACAAGCCGCCCCCGCAGAGCAGTTTGAGAAAAAGGACATACAACAGGTTGTTTATGCTAGTTATTCCTTAAATGTGGAAGTAGGGGGACTCCTTTAAACATGTATCATTCACTGGGGCGCCTGGGTGGCGCAGTCAGTTAAGCGTCCGACTTCAGCCAGGTCACGATCTCGCGGTCCATGAGTTCGAGCCCCGCGTCGGGCTCTGGGCTGATGGCTCAGAGCCTGGAGCCTGTTTCCGATTCTGTGTCTCCCTCTCTCTCTGCCCCTCCCCCGTTCATGCTCTGTCTCTCTCTGTCCCAAAAATAAATAAAAAACGTTGAAAAAAAACCAAAACAAAACATGTATCATTCAGGTCTCTTCACTTCATAAGTAACAGAAAGCCTAACTCAAATTAACTTAAATACTACAGGGGAATATTTACTCAGGCCTCTGGAAAATTCGGAGGTCTGGTGTGATTTGACGGCTTAACAAGGCCAGGATTGGTGTGATTTGGTAACTTAATAACGTCTTCAAGGAGTTGGTTTCTTTCCATCTTTGTACTCTGCTTTCAATTGTGTCTGCTGCATTCATAAACAAGATTCCCTCATGGTGGCAAAAAGGCTGCAGCAGGTCCAAACGTCACATATGCATCCCCACAGTACCTGGAAGCAGAGATGTGTTCTTGTCTCCTAATTCTCAGCAAAAGTCTTCAGGTTCAATACCAGTTGGATCAACCCTGAATGAACCCCTGGGGTAGAGGAATGGCAAGTGCTAATTGGCTTGGGCCTATATTCTCTAAATAAACCACTATGGCAAAGAATCCTGCTTAGATCAATGAGGGTGTCCCCTGCAGCTGAGAGTGGGGTTGATCCCATGCAAATCACTTGTGGCTGCCACATGACAGGGGAGGGGTGGAATGTTTGTTGTGGAAACAACCCTACGACACGTGTGCATTATTTAAATTTTCTACCAGTTCGGGGCGCCTGGGTGGCGCAGTCGGTTAAGCGTCCGACTTCAGCCAGGTCACGATCTCGCGGTCCGTGAGTTCGAGCCCCGCGTCGGGCTCTGGGCTGGTGGCTCGGAGCCTGGAGCCTGTTTCCGATTCTGTGTCTCCCTCTCTCTCTGCCCCTCCCCCGTTCATGCTCTGTCTCTCTCTGTCCCAACAATAAATAAACGTTGAAAAAAAATTTTTTTTTTAATTTTCTACCAGTTCTATAGATGCCAAAGCGTCTAATACTTTGGCAATTTTAAAATACAAGAATGGGCCCTTTCTTCCCCATGAAGATACGTTGCAAATGATCAATTTTATAAATATTGTTATTTCTTCCTCAAGTTCAAATTATGTAGCTAGATTTCCTGCATCAAAGTGTCATCTAAGAGATGGGATGCAGCGTGTTGTAGCTAAAGGGACCAGTGCTGGACCGAGAACTAGCAGCCTGGGCTCAAGTTCTAGTTCAGTCAGCAACAGTGAGCTCTCGGAAGAGTCACAGACCTGCTCGGCACTCAGCGTCTTCATCAACAGATGACGGCATTGGTGTAGATGACCTTAAGGTCCCTTCTACCTCAACGATTCCTCTGTCTTTGTTTATAAGATATTCCCTTCCTATCCATCCATCCATCCATCCATCCATCCATCATGCAATTATGGCTCATTTTGGTGAAAATACTGTATGCATAAGATAAAAATACTCTAATGATACAAAAAGATACACAGTGCAAAGGTTTGTTCCTCCTCCACCCTTGACTCCCAGCTTTCTGCTTTCTGCCGAGCTCTAACATCTCAACAACGTATCGTATACGCATGCGTTACCCCTGCCCCGTTTATACAGGCAGTGACATACCACAAGCACACCCTCCAGCCTGCCTTTGCACGCAACTATCTATAAATGGACCTCTTGGGTCAAAAGATAAGTGCATTTTGTATTTTGATCGATGTGTGGCTAAATCACCCACCCGAAAGGCTGATGCTTGGGGCCCCTGGGTGGCTCAGTCATTGAGTGTCCGACTTCAGCTCAGGTCATGATCTTACAGTTCGTGATTACTCTTTCATTCGTGTTGTTGTACAGGATGAAAAAAATGCACATCTCGTCGTGGTTTCACTTTGCCTTTCTTTCATCGTGTTTGAGGCTGAGAACGTTAATATGCTTCAAAGCCATCGACAGGTGTGATTTTGTAAATCACCTGTGCAGGCCCTTTGACCGTGCCCTTTCTCCTGCAGCTACCAGCTTTCTTGGAGTGCAGAAAATGGGGCATCCTTAACCCCCTTCCCCGTCTTGGGGGAAAGGTGGAACTCTTAGGCCGTCACGTGAGGCCACGGGGTTACAGGTGGGTGCTGGAGTGGGGGCAGTGGGCAGAAACCCACGCAGGGTGGCGGGCACCCCATGCGACAGGTGCATGGCTTTGACATTCTAAAGGGTTTTAAGACACCAACTAACAATCCAAAACCAGAAAATGTGCCATGGAGAGCTTATGGCCTGCTAGGCCTGAAGTATTTGCTGTCTGGCCCTGGCAGAAAGGAAACCGTCTGCAGGTCCCGGAAGGGGTAAAGAGAAAAAAAGAGGAGGCTGGGGACGCGCGCGCGCCAGGATGGGGCAGCTCTGACAGGTCCCGAGTTCTCTCAGCTGGGAGGGACCCACAGTGTCAAGTTTGGCCAAGAGCTCAGGAAGGATGAAGGTTTAAGAGTGTTTTGGAATGAGCAATGAGGAAGTAGGTCACCGTGACCTTTGTAGAACAGGTTTGGGGGAGTGTTGATAGGCAGGTTTTTGAGTCACAAGAAGGGAAAAGACAGAAAGGGAGGGAGGGCCCTGAGGGGTGGGGTGGGGGAGGGAGGGACAGAGAGAGAGAGAGAGAGAGAGAACGAAAAGGAGGGAGGGCGCGGAGGGAGAGGCCTGGACACAAAACGCGAGTGCTTAGTAAAAGTTAATTGGGAAAAAAAAGCTGGCACGACTTCTTTAAGACAAACAATAATTGTTGTATAATGGTATGTAATCGTAATTATGATTATGAATGTGAATACTGCTCACTTGTTTAAAGCACACGTTTAGGTCTGTGTGACTTAAGCTATGGATCTCCCCTTCTGTAGGGGGAGGAAATCCCTAGTGGCTATAAAAACAGCGTCAGCCCCAGGCCGGACGTTGGGCACAAGCCGGCCCAGCCCCCACGCCTTATGGGAGAGGCGGCCCAAGTTGAAGAAGGACAAGTGACACTCTCCGGCCACACAGGGAGCCCGGCAGGAGCTACAGGTCTGGCTTTGCATCTCAGTTCTTTTTCTGCCCCATGGCCGCCTCGACCATCTTCTCTGACGGCCCAGGGGCATCTCACATCCGGCTAGCACCCAGTAGGTCCTGTAAGACTCTTCCAAACTTTACATATCCATTTCCAGACAGCGCACTTCCAGGCCGCTCTTTGAAACACCCTCTTCCGTTTTTGTAAAATTGACATTAACGAGGCAGAATTCTTTTATTGCGGCGAAACACACACAATGCAAAAAAATCACCATTGCAACCATTTTCAAGTGTGTGGTCCTATGGCATTACGTATGTTCACACTGTTGTTTAAAAGTTTACATGAAGAGGGGCGCCTGGGTGGCTCAGGCGGTCGAGCGTCCGACCTGGGCTCAGGGCATAATCTCGCGGGGCGTGGTTTCGAGCCCCGCGTCGGGCTCTGTGCCCACAGCTCGCAGCCTGGAGCCTGCTTCGGATCCTGTGTCTCCCTCTCTCTCTGCCGCTCCCTACTCACACTCTGACTCTCTCTCTCTCTCAAAAATAAATAAACATTAAGACAAATTTTTAAATAATAAAATTGACATTAAAAATGACATCCATCACCTCCATGCAAGAGCACAACTTCCCCGTTATCCCTAACTGGAACTCTGTACCTATTAAATGGTAACCCCCTAGCCCCTTGGATGAGGTATACTTTATATACAATACAAATCCCCATTTTAAGTGCACATTTTGTGGGCTATTGACAAACGTGTCCTCTTGGGTAGTCACTCCTTAATCAAAACATAGAACATTTCTGTCGCCGCAAAATGTTCTCTCGTGGTCCTTTGCAGCCAGTCCCCAAACTCTGTCACTGACCTTTAATCTAGATTTGTACTTTCCTCAAAGCACTATTTTTGCAGCCCTGCAGATTAAAAAAAAAAACAAACAAAACCACACCTCATTGTGGTTTTGCTTTTTTTTTTTTTTTTTAATTGTGTATGAGGTTGAGAACGTTTCTGTCATTATAGGTTTTTTCCACGTTTCTAGAATTTCATAAAAATGGCATCACACAGTATACGTTCTCGGGTATTTGGTTTCTTTCCCCGAGTGTCGTGTTTCTGAAATTCACCCACGTCATGGACACGACCAATTTGTTCCCTTTCATTGCTGAGAGGTGTTCTGTTATGTGACTTGACCAAAATTTGTTTATCTATTCACTTGCTGGCATAGACATTTTGGTTATGCACGACTTCGTCTTGCCTTGCTATTATGCACCAAGCTTCTATAAACGCTCAGGCACAAGCCCTTGGGCGGACATGTACTTTCAATTCTCTTGGGTAAGAAAAACCAAGCAGGAGTAGAATTGCTGGGTCGTGTGGTTAGGGCAGCTTTGTGAAAAATGGCCAAACGGTCTTCCAACTCGGATGTGCTGTTTTGTTTTCCACCAGAGCTTGTGTGAGAGTTCGGTCGCTCTACGTCCTGGCCGACATTTGGTGGTGTCAGTTTTTAAAACTGTAGCCATTTCATGGGGCGCCTGGGTGGCGCAGCCGGTTGAGCGTCCGACTTCAGCCAGGTCACGATCTCACTGTCCGTGAGCTCGAGCCCCGCGTCAGGCTCTGGGCTGATGGCTCAGAGCCTGGAGCCTGTTTCTGATTCTGTGTCTCCCTCTCTCTCTGCCCCTCCCCCGTTCATGCTCTGTCTCTCTCTGTCCCAAAAATAAATAAACGTTGAAAAAAAAATTTAAAAAAAAACAAAAAACAAAAAACAAAAAACTGTAGCCATTTCAGGGGGGATGTGTGGTGGTATCTCATTGTGGCTTTAATTTTCTTTCTCCGGTAAATAGAAATGTTGGGCATTTTTCATGTGCTAATTGTACATCTCCTTTTCTGAGATGTTTGCTTAAATCTTTTGCCCATTAAAAAAAAAAATTGGATGTCTGCCCTATCGATTTGTAGGAGTTTTTAAAGAAATATATCTGGATCACAGTCCTTTCTCAGATGTGTATGAATACCGGAGGTTAAGATTTGTCTAATTTGTATCCACAGAGGCAAGGGTCAGACGTCTTAATTCCCCAGGAACAGCAAGGGCATCCTCACCAGTTTTTATACCTGTGGCTGGTATTGTTCTCGAAGAAGAAACGAAGGATGGCTTGAGGGAAACTGGCATTTTTGAGCCCGGGAGCAAACAGGGGCTTGAGGGCTTGGTGGGTAAGGGCAATCTAGGGTTCCTTGGCATTCCAGGAAGCAGCCTCAGGACCATAACCC